AGCCGTGCCCACGTCTCCCGGCCAGCCTGGCAGCCCACCTGGGAAGGGCAGGGGTGGGCACAGGCCACATCTGGGGGCCGTCTCCGGGCTGGGCACGGGCTCTTGTCCACGAAGGCCCTGCTGGGGAGAGCTGGGCTTCGGGGCCACTGGAGAGATGCAGACTCTGGGGACCTCTGGGGCTGGGGAACTGGGCCTTGTGTCTGGGGGGCCTCGGGGGCAGCGGCAGGGACACAGGCCTAGGCTTCAGGCCGTCTGGGCACGGGACAGGGGCACCAGGTCCCGCCTCTCCAGCCCACTCCGGGTCCTGGGCCAGGGCTAGGGTGGGCTGGTACCTGCTGGGGGGGCTGCAAACACCTCCTTCTCCGGGCTTGGGGGCGGGTATACGTTGGAGGCGCCTGTGGACAGAGGTGCCCGGGTGGGCAGGAGTCCCGGGCCTGACCATGTGTGGGCCCCCACCGCTCTGCTCCCCACCCCCAGCCATACCCACAGCAGGCAGAGGCTCCACAGAGGGCGTGGACTGGCTGCCCGGCCCCTCAGCACCCTCCGGGCCCCGGGGGCTGAAGCCTTCCTGGGTAGCTGAGGGTGTGTAGAAGGGTTTGGGGTGCTGCATGGGGTGGGGGGCTCGGGCGGGACGGGCCAGGAGGACGTGGTGGAAGCTCAGGTGGCCTTCGGGTACAGGCCGAGTCCTGTGGGGGTCTGTTTGCCTGGTTACTCGGGCGGCAGGTTCCGGGCTGCGGCCCACCCACTGCTCAGGATTCCGGGGGTGGAGGGTGAACGGGATGCAAGTGGGGACACCCCAACACCCAGAGACACATGTCACACGGGGCAGCAAGCGGACCCCACATTAGGTCCCCTGCGTTCTGCCTCACCCTGTACCATCCACTGTGGAGGCCCCCACCTCCAGGCAGGCTGCCCAGATCCAGATCCACACCCACGTAGGCCAAGGCCCCCCTTCCACTCCACGGTGGCTTCTCAGTGGTCAGGGCCCGTGTGGTCACCAGCAGTACCTAGCCCAGTGTTGGGCCAACCGGGGTGGTGGGAACGGGGAAACCGGAATCACAGGGGCTGAGGACCAGGTGACAAGGAGCTCCAGGGAGGGACGGAGGGGTGACCTCAGGGTCACAGAGAAACCCAGATTGTAAAAGAATAAAATTTATTGTCTCCTCCAGCACTGGGGGGCCCTCGGGAGGCCCGGTCCACCCCTGCCTCCGGGCTACTTGTAGGCGTTGGCCTTGTGCTTCGGCAGGAAGACGAAGTTGGGGGGCACGGGTCCCAGGAGCATCTCGCTGTGGGGAGGGAGGGGGTCAGTCCTGGTGTCCAGCGCTGCGACCCGGCCGGCTTGGCAGGCCCCACCCCGGCCCGCGGAGCACCTGATGCGGATCCAGTCGGTCGCCTTCTGGCTGGCCATCAGCGTCTCC